CATGGAGATCTTGCTGGATGGATGTCTTTGCCAACAGTTTTATACACAGAGCAGGCTACCAGCCAGACAAATGGGGGTCACATTCCATTCCTCATGGTTATCTTTCCACAGTGCTTTTCCTTTTTGTGACTGGTGAGTATCTGCAGCCGAGATGGGTGGGACTGTATGTTGGGCAGCCTTGAGTTAGAATCTGAACTGAAGAGCTCTGAAGTCCCAGCTCACCTTACACCCACAGGTTAAAGCTTACCTGAGAACAGATGAGAAGAACACAGCTTTCACAGTATCACTGAGGCCCAGGGGGACTATGAGGATCCCACCATTTTTCTTTCAGTATACTGAAGATTCCCACTCTGATAGTGTTGCAGGGATTCTTGTGGAGAGCATGGATATATAAAGGCATGCCAACGGCATCTCTCCTCCTGCTTTTTTCTGCCTTTTGGAATCTGACTGAGAACAAATCTGTGGGATTTAACTGCGTAATTCCATTACCACAAGAACATCACTACCACTATGCATTATTTACATTGTTCTCTTGCTATTTTTACTAATTTGAATTAAAGCAGAGAGGATATGGCCTTGTATATATGGATTCACGTGCTCCTTAGAATCTCATGGCCACTGCTGTCATGCTCACTTTCACTGAAAACTGAAGATGAAATGTAAATTCTCATGAAATTATTGGTTTTCCTATCGACTTAAGTGGCTGCAGCCACTACGCACTGTAGAGTAGCAATGAAAGCAAGCACAAATTTAAATTAGTCACCCATATGTAACAGTTATTATGAGGAGAAAAACTGATGCCAGCTTTTGAGGAAGACCAAATGATAATCTTGTTTTTCAGAGTATTTTTTAGAATGCACTCATGTATTGTGTAGTTGGGTCCAGTTCTCCTGCCTACCTCGAGCAGACAACAGCTACATTCCTTACCCCCTTGAAAGGGTCCTGAGCTCTTTCTTTGAAGTGCTTTTACATTACCTATTTCAAGGTCAAACTCATTTAGAAAACAGTTTGTGCATTGATGACAGTATGGACACACCGGCACTGGATCACATAGGCCTCCTGTTGCAGAGTGCTCCTGTAGACAACTGCCGAGACAGGACAGAAAATATCTTGGCTTTGTTAGCTGAGTCTGACTTAACAGCCTGAAGTTACTTTACTGAATTTTAACAAAGGGAAAAGGGATTAAAGTGAGACAAAATTATGTTTGCTCACAACTAAAACTTTTGAAAACAAAATAAATGTGAATGTGATGTCCCGGTGCAGAAATACAGCTGTTTACAAACACTCTATGCTCTCAAACACTAATAAAGAACTTTTCATCAGTGGCAAATACAAAGGCCAACTTTGTATATTTTATGTATATTTCAGAGCTTTGACCTTGTAAGTTTTAAGAAATGAGGTAATGTGCTCCATTCCCTTTGCTTCCCTTAGTTGCAATGAGGTATATAACATACACAGCCAATTTTAGCTGACTTCAAAAAATGATTAAAAAAATGTAAGAACCAGATTCCATCCTCAAACATGCACACCGCTACCTGTGGGCTGATTTCCCATTCACTTTGTTCAGAATTCACTGAACTAACTGTAGACTAATTTAGACTGCAACCCTGAAATGAAGCATGCATGACTGCACATCAGCTATTGAGGAGAAACTGAGCGAGGTCAGCAGGGTCTCAGATAAATACAGGAACCCATCCACATACACCCAGTTGTAGGATAGCCATCTTCTTGGGCCAGAGATGCAGAAAATTAACATTTTTAGAAACCAAAAAGAATAAGAATGGGAGCAGAGGCAAGTGTGAGAAACACCGTGGTGTTGTGAATCCATGTAAAATAAGGAGTGAAAGATAACTTCACTATTGGGTACCATACAGTGACATTTCAAAAGTTGTTCAGTATACCTAATCTAGACAAAACTACTGCTAAGTGCTTCTGACATGGACATAGAGCTCACTAAGACTGCTTCTCTCTTGCATTCCAGACAAAAGACACAAAGGCGAGAACAGCATCCTCTCATGTCAGAAAGCGTTGAGGAACACCAACCTTCCCCAGCCTTCCCACGAGCCAGGACATCTGGGCTGACCCCATTTACCTGTATCACACTTCCTAGCAAAGCAAGGGCAGCTCAGTTTTTTCAGTGTATGCTGCCATCTGAGGGCTTGCACTGTTTCTTCACTGTGACACAGCTACTTCTACCCAACAGCCCAAGTAACTGGCTGCTGATGGCATGGGACCATCTGTTCTTCCATTTGCTTCAAATTCAATTAAAAAATTTTGATCTTTGATAAAGAATGAGAGTGAGAAGAAGAATGGAAACACAGAATGGAAACAAAACTTACACAACCGTTGGAGAGGGACTTTTTAAAGGCTGGAAAAGAATAAGTAAGAAAGTACACAAGATTATTTTAGTAACCAAAACAGAACAATTACAGCTTCAACATTAGTTGAAACAAACTTTAGTTGCCCTATCTGAATCCAAGTTACATCTGTGTAAGTGGAGTTCAGAGTGGCCAGTAATGATGGTCATATGCCAGTAACTCATAAATCTTCAACAGAAAGGTATCAGATGCAAACCAAGCACAGGTTGGAAAACCCCTGGATTCCCACTTTATGCTGAAATGGGTCTGGTCTCCCATTCAAGAGGACAGACTGGTACAGTTCATTTCCCTTCACTCTATCATCGCATCTACACTATTCATTTGAATGCTGTTCTGCTTTAAAACTTGCTTTAAGACCTGGCTGTGAGCATAGGCAGCTCTTGCAACCACCTCTTTCCCTTTTTTTCCTTTGCAGTGCTAGAACAATGTAGTGTAAATGAGAGCTAATGTGCATGACCATAACTTACTTTCTAATCTCTGTAATTCTGCAGTTTCATTTGACAGCTACACAAATCCCATGCTAGAATTCAGATGCCATGCTACAAAGCGGATCAAGAAATGCAGGTATTTCTCAAAAGCCTTCTAGACTACAGGTTGGCTTTCTATACCTGATTGTTCAAAGCAACAGCAAATTGACACAGGGTAAATATGGATAGACATGAAATAAAGTGAAATATTTGTATGAACTCCACTGTTGACATTCGCCTAACACAGGCTAAAAACTACCACAGCTCTTTATTTTCCTGAAGGTTCATAAGTCTGCAAAGAGGACATGGAGGCACAAGCACAGGTTATTTCCTTATAAGGCATAATGACTTCCTCAATTACCCTGGAGCAATTTTATGGCACCGGCTCCCAGTGGAGGGATGTGCCAGGCCATACAACCAAACTGCAACAGTATCTGCATCTTGATTTTTCAGTGTTTTGTGGCCAATAATAGTGTCACCTAATATTGAAAAACTAACCAACAGTGCCTTTGAAACTGAACATAACCCAACAGTTACTTCTGTGTGTCTTTGCGTCATCACCATGCAAAGGCAGAAATTAGATTTCCAGTGATACACATCCTGTCACAATCTAGTCAGGCTTTCAGCAGGCACCACTACAAACATGGAGCTACACTGGGCAACACTCCCCAGGCTCAGCTCCCTTCACCTTAAGCAATTAAGCAGGTGATTTGAAATTGGTGATTAACCACCCTACGTGCCTTTTGCAGTTAGGGAAAAGGAAAAGGTATGTCTTGAAGTTGTTTCAAGGTCTTAGGTGGACCGAGTAGCTATCTGAAGGTTCTCTTTCTCCACTGACTACACATGGATCAGAAATTAATGAAATCTTTGCTCAGACTAAGTGTGCCAAATTTCATTGGATAAATCCAGGCATTGGAGACCATAGTAGGGCTTATGCATGTGAATATGGTGCTCAGAACTGGCTCAGTAGCTGGAACCTAGTGAAAATATTCTGATCTGTTCACTGAAGATGTTTAGACAAGGAAAGCTCATCACATTTCAACACACAGACTTGCAGAAAGTTTAAGAGCAGCATTGCAGATAACAGATACCTAAATGGGTGTAAGGAAGAGGAAATGAAGATTTGTGGTTTGAACAAAATGCTGATGAACATAATTACTGTAATTATCAGGAAATCAAAGAAAAACAACTTTTCCACAGAGACAATTATAATGTTTTTATTTAGCAAATGTACTGGAAGAATTGTTTTTCTGTAAAGACATAAAGATATGTCCCAATTCCACAGAGCTTCCATTCTGTCAAAGAGCTACGATTTTTTGAAATCAGTTTAATGAACAGAAGGGGATATATGTGAAGATGTCAAATTTATTTTTGTCATAAACCACGTGATTCCATTTACCACTAATCCCCAAATAATTGACCTGGGGCCACCAAGAGCTTGCAAAACCCTTGCTGGTGCTTTACAGAGAACAGGCTGTTCACACAATTTTAACTGCCCTCTGTTTCTAGCCATGTGAGCAGAAAAAAACCCATTAAATACTTCCTTAATATCTCTTTTTCCATACTGGCAATTGCTGAGGTTACCACAGGATCGCTTTGGTTTATTGTTTGTATTTTTACAATTGCATATGGAAGGGCAATGATCTAGGACATTATTTCCCTACTAAGACATGCTTCAAAATACAGAAAACTTCTGTGAAACCCTGCCTTGTAAAATTGAGAACAGACCCTACAGTGTTCATCCTTCTACAGTCTACACTTGACTAAAAGATAGAGGGTTTTGTTTTTTTTCCTGAGAATTCTGTTCCTTTATACTTGGAGTTAGCCCTGTATTTGCCTTCTGCTACAACCTACTAGGTGTTGAGTCTCTCCCTTGGCAAGTACTGACTCAAATGCCATTTCCCACCACGCCAGACTGGAAAGCATGGAAGAGAAGATGTGATGTAAGGGTCTGCAATAATTATACAGGAGTGTGCCATATTGAAGCATTCTTTGGTTTGGCAGAGAGAAATTACATCTACTGCTAAGATCTGCCTTGCGTTTGAATGTCCTTTTCTTAAGAGAATGTCCAGAGACATCCATAGCAGCCTGAAATGAAAACACACTAAATGCAAACCCAATTCTGTATAAAAAAGAATGCCCTCAGAAACAAATCTATTATGAGGGCTCTTCTCACCCCAAAATTAATTACAACTTTACATTACTGAACTCTGATGAACAAAGCATAACATTCCCTCAGATGTGAGGCCCAACTCAAAACACAAAGAAGGAGTACTTATTAAGTACTTAGTTTTCAGAGATACTGATTGCTTACCCTATTCTTCCATCCCTTCTGGTCTTTCCCCAGCTGTTTTTGGAATGTTTCAGAAAAAAGAAGATAAACTTTGGCCCTATTAGGGTTAATGCTTTTGCATAGACATATATGACCATAAACTGGTCGACTAGTAGAGGTCTTCTGCTAACATTGTGACTGAGAACAAGAAGAATACAGCCACAATAATATACAGCTGTCTACTAAAAGTATGGCATACAGACATCTTTGGCCATGCAGTCTCTTGGCCTTCTGGAAATATGTGAGCTGCATTGCTAACATGACAAAAAAAATTGCAATGTTGAGAATCAGAAAGAGGCGGGTATAAGAAGCTGATATTGATGGGGCACTACTTCGAGCAGTCGTCACCATCTGTGCCAGCCCTGATCGGCCTTTGATTGACACCCCAGTTTTATGCTTCACATAAGTGATATCTGCAAAATCCAGAAGATCTTTCATTTCCTCATCTTCATCTACAGGCAACTCTTTCTGTGCTTGAGTCTGTGCCTTTTGCCGCACCTTTCTTTCATTTACCTCAATTTGTGCAAAAATGTCAGGAACGGCATCAACAAATTTGTAGCCTTTGGCTACTTTTCTGTTTTTCTTTGCTCTGCCATGCTGCTGCTGCTGCCTCTGTGAGATTGCAAATATCCTGTCAATGGCCTCCTCTGTCTGTCTCTTATCTGAAAACCTCAGCAGGCGCTCAGCAGTCTTCCTAAAGCTAGCTGTGTTGCGTACACGAGACAAGATCTGCTTCTCAAGCTGCTGAAAAACAGGCTTAAAATGCTGCAGGTTCCTCTCCACGATCCCTACATAGTCCTTCACTTCTGGCACCGCAGAGCTCCTAATGGCAGAGGCTCGGTCAAAGACAATTTTCTGTCGGTCTGCAATAACCTGTGCAAAGACAGAGCGGGACCCATCCTCAACGGGCCACACATACACGGCATAGGCATGCTCACTGGTGGTAACGAAAACATCCAGCTGTGGAGAATCTCCGCGGACGGTGAAGCTCTGCACGTCGACAGAGGGCCCAATGAAAAGGTAAATGGCCCTGGTGACGGGGTGCCGCAAGAGGGTCGTTACATTCACGTAGTTCGTTCCATTGTACGGGTAGCCCCGGGGATACATCCTTGAGGCAATGGTAGCCTTCTCACTGTGGCCAGTGTCATCCATCCAGTACATCTTATATATCCCATCACGGTGTCTAATAAAGGCCCCATGGACATCATCAACAACTGTTTCTTCAAAAGGCACATCCACATTGTGGAAGAAACTGGTCGCTGCCTCCAGGGGGCTGTCATCTTCTAGATGGATTTGGTCCACTAGCAAGAGAAGCTGGGGATGGAGGAGTATGAGGTTTCTCTGCAGTTTTCTCAGCTTCAGTTTAGGATTGTATGCACCTACTCCTTCTCCCCTGATAAAAACCACCCCGCTTCTCTCCATGGCGGCAACCACTCGTCCCTGACAGTCACCAGCCAAGTCATGTTTATATTTAAGCCACTTTGAGGAACAGTCTTCTGTAATCTGCCCTTCCCATGGGGAGAAGCAGCTCTTGGACACGGCAGGGGAAAACATTAACACATTATTAAAAAAAGTATATTTTGGCCCATACAGAGCTTCTGTTATGAAAGGTACACCATTGGGAGCAAAAGTAAAGGAGTTCTGGTCTGGATGTTCATGGCCAGCATTAAAGTTCCTCCACCCCCTGATCCACTCTTTGTACTTGTTCTTATGAACAATATCATATATTGCACGTCCTCCCAGCTTTCCTGACTTGAAGGAGAGGAAAGGCCTGTTGATTTCAGCTGGCAAAGCACTTCCATAGGTTACCACTCCCCAGTCCTCAAAATAATGCAGCTTAGGAACCCCATAGTCTGGCGGAGGTACAGAGTGCAAACTTGCATCATACCTGCCAAAAAGACAAGGAAAATGGGTTTAAATATTACTTGACTGATTCCATTATCAGGACCTGTACAAAATAATAATAATAAAAATTTCAATATTTACATCAAGGAGCAAGCTAACAATACAAAGCCCACATGTACGCCTCTTGAGTGAACTAATCATATAGTTGTAATGATACTTAACATACTAATCCCTACACAAATTTGTTGTGTGCTTTTTATGGAATAATAGCTGAAAGCACCTGCTCTACATTTAAAGCAAGCAACGGAAAGAAAACACAAAAGCAGATGTAGGACAAGACCAAGGTGTTCCCTGTAGCAACACATACTCTCCATCCATGCTAAATGAAGAAGTTCTTCTGAGCCTAATGACCCTCTGGGTCACACATTTTCCAACCAAGGCTGGGAGCCTGCTCTGTATCTAGTGGTCCTTGATGGAGATTCCCCTAAAAGCAGACCTCTTTCCTGAGATTCTAATGCAAGTGGACACTCTCAACACAAGAGCAACACTGCAGCACAGGGAAAAGGCAATTGTTGGAATAGTTGGAATTTGTCTTTTTTTTTTTGACTCAAGTGCTCTTAAACAAATGTCTTTTCCTTTGACATCAAAAAGGCTTTTCTAAGTATAAATTTCCAAGATTTCCATGGAGACACAAGAGAAAATAATGATGGAATGGGGTTGTAGATAAGAGATTTTGTATTTTGCAAATAACAAGATGAAGGGTGCTTGGAGCCTAATATGCTTTCTAATATGCATATCATAAATGCAAACCAATATATATATATATTTTATTTTTTTTTCCTTGTAAGAGAGAGAAATAGAGCTACAGTAACTCCTCAAAAATGTACTTGTCCTCTCTACAGACTGAGGAAATTTTTATGTATATCTAAAGTCTTTTGGGTCATTTCACTTCTTACCTTCAGAAGACTGACACACAAGTTAACAAAGCTGCAGATTACATAGAAAATACAGATCTAGTCATCTATAGTATTTTTTCCAAGCGTAACTTGAAAATTAGTGTGTACAAACAACTAATAGTAGCCTTACTGCTTACATTATTTTAGCTTTTAAAAGAAAGTTTATTTCATTACTTGTGTCTTATAAAAGAAAACCATGCTTTAAATATTCACCTAATTATTAAAAAACACAATGGTATTAAAACTTATTTGAATAGACCAAATAAACCAAAGAATACATGCAGGCAAATTTACATGCAGTCCTTTTGGAACTACTTGTATTCTATAAAAGCAATAGACAACGGAAAGAAAACACAAAAGCAGATGTAGGACAAGACGAAGGTGTTTCCCTGTAGCAACACATACTGTGCATCTATGCTAAGTGAACTTGTTCTTCTGAGCCTAATGACCCTCTGGGTTACAGATGGCCAGCCCAATCTTGGCTTCTACAGTACAAATCTAGATATAACGAATTATCACTAATGCAAAACAGCTGTCAGGTTCCTTTTGAGCCCACTCATTCCCTTTCATACCAGAGAAATTCAGTGTGGAGAGTGCACCACCTCTGCCCTTTGGATGGTGTCCCCGGGCCCTCCACCACTCGGTTCCTTCTGATCTGCTCTGCCAACCAGTTCCCACTGCCATTGCGCATGACAAATTTGTCGAGAAACACCAGCTGGCTCTCTGGCCCGTAGAACCAGTTATAGTTGGAATCCGCGATGGCCACAGTTCTCTGAAACCCTTGGGAAAAAGTGAAAAGGAATGTAAGAAAGAACAAATAAAAGTACAAAGATGCATTTGTAGAGCATGACGGTGAAGCCAAGCAGTACAAACAGACACAAACAGAAGCAGCCTTTTCAGATGTTTATAGACCTACTTGTAAATGAGCCATAAACAGGTTACACAGGAGCTGTTTCCTTCTGCTGTAGCTAACTTGAACACTCACCTTTCTTCTTTGGCTTTGGGCTACAGTCAAAGCACTACAAAACATGTAAGAAGCAATGTCCTATCCACTTCCTCTCCTCACTCAAATCTGGCAAAGGTAACTTTCTCTTTACAGCTTTCACTTTTCCTATGTCAATCCAAGCTCTCCAAAGCAAGAAAACAAAGGTGTTTGCAAGGAAAAAAACAGCTTCACCCTGAAACAGCTACTATGAGTCCCTTTTGCTCTTAGGAACATCTTCCCAGTAGATGCCCAAGGTCTCACATGGAGTCAGCAAAATTCCTTAGGCGCCTGTGCTGGCATGACAAAGCTGCACTCAGCCCTCCTTACATACATGGCTAGATCTGGATTTCTTATAGCTAGTAAAAGTTATCACAGTCTTTTTAATCAGGAATTTGAATAATATAAGTTTCTCATGAACTGTCCTGCAAATAAGCAACATAAAACCATAATCAAAAACTTGCAAGGCTGCCGGAAACTAAATCTCTTCCAAAAGCTAGAAGGGGTCGGGAATATTTATTATCTTATAACTGGTTTTATATTTGTACATCTCCATCTTTCAGTCACAACCAGGACTTCAAATCAGAAATGCCAAAACACACTGCAAGACAGTGGAGAGATCCAGCAAGAGAACAGAAAAATTTAAAAGTCTGCAAAATTGACTGTTTATTGATGTCAGATATTTCTGTTTAACTCTCACATTGACAGAAGAAAATGGTTCACGTATTCCTGGACTGCACAGAGAAACCTGTCACTTGAGTCAATGACATTTTCCATAAGAAAAATATTTTAATAAAAATGGTATAAAAATCTATTTCACTATTTTGTGGAAAACTGGTGATCATCTAAAACTTTCCTATACTTTACTGATACTTTTACCTTGGCTTCATCACTTGCTATTCCTTTCACCTAATCTTTTACTGTAATAATTTTTGGCAAAGGAAAGAATCAATAAGAATCTTGAAAAATACTGTTTTTCAAACAGTAAATCCCAGAAATAGGTCTGGTTCAAACTTCAAAAAACAGAAATCAAATCCTGAAGCATTGCTTTTTTTCCCAAATTATATTTCTGTATTTTCACTGGGTTTAAAAGCCAGAGTTTAATAAGTAATGATCTTTAATAAGCAGTGATACATGAGGATGTCACTGTTTTGAAGGTAAAATCCAAGGAAAAGGTTATTTTAAAAAATCCAAGTACACTGTTATTTTAAAAATGGCTTATTTCAAGTATGAAATTTACTGCTGCTTCAAGAATTAGAAGATTCAGCTGTGTAAAATTCACCCAAAGGACCTACCTGGCAGGACAGTCCTGTACATAAATGCAAAGTGCTGTTTGAGCCAGGGGTGGCTGAAGTGATTGATACCAAAGTGCCTTTGGACAAGAAACATGTACTGAAACAGCGATCTGGTCGTGTAGCTGCCATAAGCCACCCCTTCATAGAGGGAGCCATCTGTGACCTCCTGCAGCAGGACTACTGACTTCTCCATGATTGCCAACACTTGCTTGGTCCACAAGTAAGCTTCCTGAAGGTAGCCTGAAAAAAAAGAAAAAATATGTTGGCAAATCTAATTACAAGCCATAGATCACAGATTACATCATCTGTACTCCCACTGTGGGATCCTTTACAGCAAGGAATCTGCAATCCAGAGCTTTAACATATGACCTAGAGCTGCAGCATCCCTATAGTTTAGGGTGAAAAATAAATCACTCTATTTAAACACAGCAAAGCAAGGTCACACAAGCAGGGAAAATCTACCAAACACTTTTTGCTAATAATGTGGGATTACACCTTCCATCTTAAAGGGAGAATTTCCTTAATGCATTCAGGACATGGAAAAAAGGAAGAGCCATGCCATGATGACTGTATTTCAAACCAAAGCCATATGAAAATAAACTTACAGTCCCCACTAGAGGGCTCCAATAATGCAAATATTCCTTTCTGTCATTTTTTTCACTGCCATGATCACCAGCATGGTAAGGAGATCCTCAGAGTTTAAAAATACAAAGACGTTCACATTTGAGCTGCAATTAAATAATATTCTACTAATACATGCTCTATTTTAAGACATGCTCCATTCTACTTACATTTTAATTTTATTGTACAACCTAAAGGGTTATCCAAATAGAAGTTATTTTGGAAAAGTTTTGTGTGGTTAATTTCAAATGCAGATTCCTCAGTTTGAGAATAAAATTAATCTTCCAGCTAGGTTAAGTTTCAGCCTCCACATATACAAGCCCTAAACAGTTATATTTCTTCTAAAGAAAAGACTCGGGGATCGTACTATTTTGGTCTGGGAAGGTTGTGGGAAGACCTTCTTAGGGCTTGTCTGCCTTCACCAGGGAACAAGCAGAAGCACAAGAGCCTCAGCACTGCATTTCTGTGATGCAGAAGGCAGCACGACGATCTCAGAAGAGGGAAGGCTATGTGCTTTCTCTTACTTTCTTTTGGATTCACTGGCAAGAGAGGTAGGACTAAACAGAGACCAAATGCCTTGAGCTTCTACATGTCAACTTAAGTGTCTACCCAACCAAAAGTGTCCTGGTCACAGACTTAACCAGACATATTTCCACCACATAGCAGAACTGTGCAGGCATACGTCACACCCCATTACATGGTGAAGTGCTGCTGCTGAATGAAGCGCACATGCCAGGCTAAGAGAGTATGAGCTACACTAAAACCCGCTACTGGGACTGGTTCATGTCATTGCCACAATCTCTGTACTTATGCTCAGCAGAGTGATGAGCAATTCAGACTTCCTACTAGTCAAGGCTGCCAAATCCTGCTCTGTTAACAAAGAGAAAAAAAATTGTCATGTCTAAGTTAAACAGACAACCTGAATCTAGCATGATGTTTTTTATCCACTGGCTGAAGAGATAAATACAATGGGCAAGGCCTGAGCAACAGGGGCAGGTGGTGCTACTTACTTCTACTTCCTGTGCTCACAGCTGTCTTGACAATACTTCATTACTCTGGTGGAGCTGGCAGCACAGTAGTCCGTCCGAACAAAACCCAAATACTTCCATCCTTGTTTTCCCTTGTGACATTAACAGCCACAAAAGCTAGCTTTTGACTACTGCACTAGCAAGAATGCTGTTTTCCATGGTTCAGCACAGTGCATTTATCATTGTAATGCACGTATGTTCTATTTACTTAGTTTATATCAATGCTATTACCCTATATTTGTAGTATATTAAAAGAATAATACATTAGAATAAAAAAGTAAGAGACTCAACACTCAGGCTACACAACAAAACAGAACAAATCTCACCTATAATTAGCAGCATCTATATCAAATTAGGCCTTACTCAAGTTTCTTTTTCAAATATGAGTTTTTATTTTAACTGCAAAGACTTCAGAATATGTGTGTGCCTAGAATTCATTTCAATTAGTTTCATTTTTCAGTCCTATGACAATGTTTACATGTTTTTAAGCTAGCTATTTGGTCTCTGCACGCTTCAATAGCTGACTAGTGTGTAAAATTATTAGTTGAAATTTAAACCTTTGGGAAGATAGGTCTACACTGGGATACACTATTTGCAATTGCTATGCATCTGATACAGAGAGAATAGTATGCTTACTCCTTTTCTTCCTCCTTGTTTTTTTCTCCTTCAGAAAAAGTCTTGGAATGAGAATTTTTAAGAAACCTTTTTCAATTTTTTTTAATTTTAGGCCAACAGAGAAACTTAATTTAATTTATTTTTTTTTAATAAAGTTGCTTTATATTGAAAACAACATAATCTTCATTTAGAAATATAGTCTGGATGTTTTGACCTATTTCAATTTGAAATATCAGCACATATTTTCAAATTGCTCAAGTAGTGCTGAATTAGCTTTTTCCCCCCTGAAAAAAAAAAGCCCACCAAACTTTGATGAAAGAAATATTTGTGATGTTACCACTGTTTGGCTCAAAGCATACTTATCATCTATACTCTAATGAAAAGCAAAGTCATCTCGCAAACTGTCAGCTTTCTGCAACAGCAGAGGCTTGGGGAAGGATGGAATTATGAGGAATTTAGCAAAACCCACTGAATAAACACGATCTGAGTCTTCAATTTGTGGAAGGCAAGATAGGAGGAAAGTGAGCAACTTCCACGCACACTCTTGCTGCTTTTCAGCATACGCACACCAGTGAATGTGCTTGTTTTGACAAACAACAAAAAGATGACCCCTCCAAACACAGTATTTTGTCACACTTCTTTGGGCATCTGAAAGCTCCAACGATGTGCAGATGTGCCTTTGCTTGGTAGGGCTGCATGTCTTGGCAATGCCATCAGCATCCAGAAACTAGATTCTCCTTGACTTGCAGCAAATAGTTCCATTGCACAACATGTTTTCAAAATACTTCTACTATGTATCAAATAATCACTTGATAAAATACTGAGGCATTCTTATAAAAGCAGGAGCTGGCTCCATGACTTCCACCTCTCAGCTGAAGTACCACTGGGGTTTAAAGTTAGGCTTTCTTATCTGCTCTCTCCCTCTGACTCAGTGACTTGCTTTCTTGTTTACACTGTATATCACTTAGACAGGAAGAGAGTGACAGCCTCCAGGCAGAGCAGCCAAGAGCAACTGGTAAGGGTATTGACCTGGGAACTGGGAAGGACAGGTTTAAGTCCCCAAAGCAAAAGAAAATGACACCTGGCACAGACACCTCTTGGACAAAGGTTGTGGGGTGCAAGGGCATAATTCAGAGGGAAAAAAGGTAAAGCCTTGCTCATCTCCATACAAAAGGATGCTGGAAAGAAAAGTCCTAAGCTGTAGCCTTTGGGTGGATAAAGTTACTCCTTTGCAACTCTCTCAGAAGAGGACAGAAGTCTGGGATGAAATTCCAGATTATCCTGTTGTCTAGCTCCCAGCTCAGATCGCAGGGTGTTTCTGACTGCTGACCTCAGTGCGCTTGTGCAAGAAGACCAAACGCATCCCTCTTTACTGCTAATCTACCCTGAAAGACCCTGTCTGTAAATCTGGCCTGGACAGACTATACACAAGGGGATTTTTAATTCTTACAAACAGTGAGGTAAGAATTTCAGAATCACTTAGATAACTGAACTAATATACACAAGTATATGCGCATATATATTATACCTTGTACATGTGCCCACAGACTTCTGTTCTATTTGGTAAACTAAATTTTCCCAAGCAGCAAAAGAGCAAACTCAATGCTGCTATACTCTGAGGAACATTTCTATCAGTTCCTGACCTTTCCTGCAGAAAGAGCTGATTAAGCTGATACACTTCAGCAAAGCATTCCTATGGTTTAGCACATACCTTGATTCATCAGAACCAGGCTTCCAGCCAGCAGGGCCACACAGTTGGTAGGCTGGTGGTTGTGGAGGTACTGGAAGCCCCATCCACGTCTGTATGATGTTTCGTACATATATCCTGAGGCATTGGCAATTACCTCAAGAAATCTCTCTTGTTGAATCTTGCTCAGATAGCTGTACAAGAAGTCATAAGCAGTGGCAAAACCAACTAAGGAGTGAGCGAGAGGGACTTCATCCCACGGGGCATCCTTCACTAGCCTGTCAATAAAGAAAGATGCCAATTAGTTGAGTTTCACCTACTTATTTTTCTCCATTACTGTACTGTGAAGTGTGGATGACTGAATATCTCTGAAGCTATGCAATTCATGTTGAATTTTAACACAGTAGTAAGCTGCTTGCCAAATCTCTGAGTCCATTTTCTTCCTTCTTAAGTATGGACAATGTTAACCTTCAAGGCTCATTAATTTTATTAGAAAGATTAAGTTGTTAAATATTAAAACAGTGCTTGATATATTCTGGCTTTTGCTAGGAGAAACAGATATGCAGAGTATTGATTGTACAAAACCAGAATCTATTTCTCTGAAGCAAGACTTAAATAACTTTTTGTGAGAAAGTAGTATCCCATAGTCTATACTCCTCAAAAAATCTGTAATAACCTTCTTTTTCTGAACAAGCCAAACGTTGATAAATTCCTGAATGGTGGCTATGGGACTGAAGCTGTCTTAAAGCAAATATAATAAAATAACTCACTATGCTGTTTCTTCATTCCCCAAATGCATTCAAGGATAGAAGTGGAGATGATGAAATTTACTTTCATGACTACAGTTCAAGTTAACATACTTAATACCACTAAAAAAACCCCCAACAAACCAGCATTTAGCATAAAATAGAGGTAAAATGATGCCACTACTAAGAATTCTTTTCTAGTTACTACCTGCTTCTATCCAACAATTACACTGAACTTAGCAAAATAGTAAATTTGTACCAAGAAAATTCATAACGGAGGTGGAGATAGCGTAGAACAAATATTTCTCTTAAATAATGCATATATTGTGTATCAGACTTTAGTTTTGCAGAACTGGCAGTACTTTCAGGCCACAGTTCTACACAGAAGGAAATGTCAAGGAATACATAGTGAAAAAAAATCTTTGATAAACTAAACAATCATCAGTTGCTTTCATGGTTATTGTCTTCTTTCACTTTCTTCGCAATATATGTTTTATTACAGAAAGGAAGTTTAAATTGTTGATGTGATAGTTTAACTCCGCTGGAAGCCAAACAAGACACAGCCACTTGCAGCCTCCCACCCCCTTCCCTCCCACCTAGGGAATTGGGGAGAGAATTGGAGGGGTAAAGGTGAGAAGACTTGTAGGTTGAGATAAGAACAATTTAATAATTAGAGTAAAAATAAAATAAAAATAATAATAATAAGAGTAATAATGATAACAACTACATATTTATGAGCGTTGCAGAGCACAATTGCTCACCACCCACTGATAACGACCCCGGAGGAGCAAAAACGAGCCCTGAAACTGAAATCGCAATCCCAGAAAAGCGAGCCCGAGCGATTCCTGAGAAATTCCCCCCCTTTCCAGTCAGCCCTGGTTAATATACTAAACATGATGGGATATGATATGGAATATCTCATTGGCACATCCAAATACCAATTTTGGGTTTTGCTATTCACTACACTTCTCCCTCCCAGTCCTAATGCAGCTGTGAACCAGCCAAACACGGTGGCCTTGAGCTCCAGCATCAACTAATAACACCAGTATTTTTATCAACATTCCTCTTATAACAAGTCTTACACTGAAACTAAAACACAGCTATTCTAATAACTAAGAAGAAAATTAACTCTATCCTAGAAAAACCAGGGCAGTTGAGATAAGAGAACGTCCTCCTGTAATCAGTAGAAATAGCGTCGTGCTTCTGAAAACACGCACCTTCCAGCTTCAAGTATTCTAAAACTCTATAAATATGATTTAATCTTAATTTCTGTAATTAGTAGTGTGAACAGACATAAGAAAAAATACCAAAAGAGCAAGGTTTCAAAAAAATCCTCATTCTGCTAAAGGAGCATTTATTTGCATTGAAAATGCATTAATGAACCACGTAGAAATTATGACCATCAGCCTAGGGCACGGCAAGTATGGTAAAACATAACATGTACAAGTGAGAAAAATGACCTTTAATTTTTATTTCAGTGTGTCTAACATCACTGGAAGAACTCAAATGAACTTGGCACATCCATAACTTTATGTAATTAAAGCCTCTGTAGGCTTTTTGATTAGATGAATTTCCAACAGTTTTAAGGGTTCACCTTCTTTCAGCTTCAATCCCATCTTCTGCTGAGTGAAGTTATACATTCATTTTTTCCATTTTTAAATGATATCTCAGATTTTAAATTAAACACATGAATGCACTCAACATTGATCAGCAGGATTTGACCTTTTTTTTTTTTGAACCAGGGTTTTTATGGGACTAGATTATTTTGTTTGCACAATTTTGTTTCCTGGTTAACAGACAGGCATTGACAGAAAATGATTATGATTCCTAAACATCAGGAAAAAAGTTCCGGAAACTTACTACTCATCTTCTCCACATCCACATGCTATTCTCTGTGGTCAGTGTCAGGAACATTTCTCTGTCACTTTTTTCCTGGTTAGAACTCTAAACTTCCCAGTGAAGACTTCCAGCCAGGTGTAGCAAAATTTCTTATTTATGTTTTCACTAAATTGTTGTGCAAAAAATTACAGACCAGTAAGCCAAAACATTTACATGCTTTTCCTAGATGCTCATTCTTTCTGTATTTCCAAATATACTGGAAGAAAATGTAGCTGAACTGGGCAAGCAACTCTTCAGACTCTCTAGATTTATTTATACTGTGTCACTGAGGCACAAAATTTGAAAATCTGAGTTAAGTGGTTATTTGTCAATCTCAATTAAATCTCTGCATCTCTCTTTCTGTTTTTTTTCATCTTTCCTTGTCATTGAGAAAGCTCTTAAAATGTTGTTAGTCCTATACATAAAAGTAAAGTTGCCTTCTATGCCGGTTATATGCACACCCTGGCACCATGACTGCTGTCAGAAATCCTTTGACAGATGAACATACCTTTGACCAGCTATATCAAGAATCTGAATTTCCAAAGTATTTTTAGTTTTGCTTTTCACCAAACCTTTGCACATTCAGAAATCAGAGTTCAAAGGGGCACAGGAAATATCACTTTAAAGGCTGCTGCCTGGAACAATTACAAAGTGATTGAGGCTAAGCTATACATTACGGGGGAAGAAAAGAACAATGAAAGAATTTCAGTTAATTTAAAGCATTTAATTCAAAGTTCTGTCTCCTTATAACAACAATTCCTTATAACAACTATTCAAATTGCTAAATAGAATGTGCTTAAATCTATTTAATGATCTTTACCTAACTTTGTCTTAAATGGATTTGACAGTGGAACTGATTTACTGTAACTTTCATTGTTAGGATGTATGCTAACTTTATATTTGGTTTCAAATGCAATACTGCATCAAATTCTATAATATAAGCGCATATATCAGTCTCTGTGGCACTACTTCTGATAAAACTCAGAGGGCTGGAGCACCTCTCCTATGAGGACATGTTGAGAGAGTTGGGGCTGTTCAGCCTGGAGAAGAGAAGGCTCCAGGGAGATCTTATAGTGGCCTCCCAGTACCTGAAGGGGCTACAGGAAGGCTGGGGAGAGACTTTTTACAAGGGCAGGTAGTGATAGATGAAGGGGTAATGGCTTTAAACTGGAAGAGAGTAGGTTTAGATTAGATATTAGGAAGAAATTCTTTCCTATGAGGGTGATGAGACACTGGAACAGGTTGCCCAGAGAAGTTGTGGATGCCCCCTCCCTGGAAGTGTTCAAGGCCAGGTTGGACGGGGCTTTGAGCAACCTGGTCTAGTGGAAGGTGTCCCTGCTGATGGCAGGGGGGTTGGAACTAGATGATCTTTAAGGTTCTTTCCAACCCAAACCATTCTATGATTCTATGAAAACAGAAAGCACTCTTCTACATGCGAAGTGCTAAATTGATCAGTTATGACTGAATTTAGTTTGTTCAGAAAAAAAACCCCAACCTCCTTCAGTGGGAAAAACCTTATCCTAAGCCTACATACTGGCATAATTACCCACCTCAGGTTAGATAAAGTAATTTTGTCATAATTTCCCTCAAATTGCAATTCTAAACAGTAAGTCTTGCAGAGCATTTAACAGAGGAGATGCACACAAGTAATAGGGAAAATTAAAGATGACAATTTAAAGACCCTCATTTCTAAACATACAAAACCACAGTCAACATCTGTTCTCTAAAATGAAGCTCTTGAAGTAATAACTCTTTAGCTGATATAAATCAGTGCACCTCCATTAATTGAATTTCAATGGAAACAAGCAATGTACACTAAACAATATGGAACATGATTCACAAGAAGAATGGTCAAGTAGCAAGCATTACATGCTTTTTGTATCTAAATTATGTTCTCATGTTTCAAATGAATCTCCAATGTCAGATTTGGTAAACAGCCTGGCTGATAAACCATGGGAAAGTGTGGTACTATAGGCCTGCACTGAACATACTATGTGAAAAAACAGTTTTCAGGGCTATCTATTAACTACTCTGTTCTGAAATATTAAAGAAAAGTTGTGTGCATTTATACAAACAAAAGATAGGTTAAAACATGCCAATGCTTTGCACTGGAAAACAGTTATTTTCTAAGCCTCTCAGGAGTAAAACTTAACATCAGCTAGTATGAACCTCAGCTTAGCAATTAACTGTGTCTGAAGACAGCAAGTAACCTGTACCTTAATGCTGCATTAGCATCTTCAGTCTTTTAATGGTATCAGATGTTACAAAAAGAGATTGCAAAGTAAGTAAAAATATCTATAATGGATTCTTTAGTATAGAGCAACTACTTAGTTGCAAACATAAACACTTTTAACAAAGAATAAAAAATTCTAAAACACATTTAAAAATAACAGCTAAACCATAAATGCATCCCTACAGATGGTACAAAACTTTTTTTTTTTTTTTTTTTTTTACACTTATATACCTATACCTGTATTTGTCAGGTGCCTATCAGGACACTTGAGAAGGTTTATAAAAAAGCAGTAAGTGCTGAACAGGTTTGCTGCCTAATGATAAAACTCCATAAAGATCCGAAGCCATATGCATTGTTCTGCATAAAGAAGTGCTGTCTGGACTAATTCTGTGAATGGCACATGACAAATACACGCCTGGGG